CCATATATGCCCAATTGATTATTTAATAACATGAGTCTGAAAACCAGGGTTAATGTTTACTTTATTGTACCAAAATAAGCATATCACCCAAATTCCAAATCAGAACCTTCAAAATCTAATAAAGCTAAGTTCTAAAAATTATCCAATCTTATAATCATATCAAACAACAGGCATCATAATATAATGTGAGGTCTAGTAAAAGGATAACTCCTTTCTTTAGCATCCTGTAGGAGCTTATATTTTATTTGTAGTTTTTTGTTTTGCCACTTTCAGATCCCCGTATTGAGAAGACTTTGATATTAAAATACCCTGAATTCTGTTCTTTAAAAAAGGCAGCATCTCCTACCCTCACACTTGATTATCATTCTCCTTTAAATGAACTAATAATCCTAGAAGTTCATATATTTTTGCCACACAAAAATATGTTGATTTGGATAGTTTTTGTTAATGAATGAGCAATATGATGTTTTTACTTATTTCCTTAATTAGGTTCTCTAAACTAGGATTATCTAGTTTTAGGACTTGTGTAGAGAACTGAACTCATATTTTACATATTATGCAGAAATATTGAAAATTCAAATGGGTTCACAAAGTTTTAAGCACCACTATATACCAAAGGATGGAGCAGGGAGTTTTAACTTTGTCCAGTTTTATATTATTTTATACATCTTCTACTCTCAGTTAAAAAGCAATACAAGCTCTACAAATTTATTTTAATAATTGTGTTCTTCCTAGTTCCTGCATTCATAACTACTTCTGAATATAGTAAAGAGAGAAAAAATACAGCTATACATCCAAGGTGGTCTTCAGAAACAAAAGATTCTAGGTAATTACGGCTAAAACTTTTACCAGCTTCTGGAGATAAATTTCTTTGAATTCTGTTGAATTTGTCTCCGAGTCAGAACACATATATACAATCTTGACATTTAATATACATATGGATATTTCAATTGAAAGAAGGTAATTTTGTATTAACTATCCATACTAGAGGGATTAAAACAGTTTCCATACTAAAAGTATAATTCTGAAATGTCTTATGTTGCCATTGCTTTTCTTTTTCATATATAATTTTATTTAGTTCATTTGGTGTTAACTGCATTAATTATTGAAAAATAGGATTTTGTAGCAGTACCTATAACAAAGTGAAATAAAGCAACATTTTTGCAAAGCATGAATGATTATATTTTTTTCTACAAAAAGCCATTTTAATGTTTATCTGATTTAAAATAAGGTAAGGAATGATAAATTTTATCATTCATTTATGTAAGCTTTAAACACGACTTTTTTATATCCTGACTTTTTATATGGGAACTGCAGTTCCCAATGCCAGTAACACAAGCCCAATGATGATATTCCTAGTAGTCATATTTTAAAGATGTTGTGGGCTTCCTCACTATCTTTCATGTAGTATAGAGATGGGCAAACCATGTCTGTCTAGCTAAGTATGGCCTTTATTACTTGCAAGTGACTTTTGAAGTTAGACAATCTCATGCTATTAATAAAGGCAATTTGTGGCATCCTAATAGTCTGCTGCTGAATAGAGAAAGGCAAAAAGAAAACAAAAGAGGCATAGAAAAACAAATGTATTTTATTAAGAAAATGGTTGGCCTGACTATTAGCAGATGTGACTCAACAGAAAGTTGCTCACTCTGATATTCACAGGATTGTGGCATAGGGAGTTTAGTCTCCCCCCATTTAGTTGTCTTAATTACACATCAGAGTCTGAGCCATAGCTGCTAATGATTACTTTTAACTTTCGGGAAACTACTTTGTCTGGCTAACAACATCATAGATTATATATGCTATAATTACCTTTCAGATTTATTCTTGCATTAGTAACAAACACTTCCTCCCTAAAGGAGTTACTGTGTGGAATTTAAAACAGAATCATTGTCTCCTTACTGCTCTATGGAAATTCGCCCGTATGCTCGATGGATGCAGTACCTTCGAGCAGGCTATACAGTATGTGTAATGTGCCAGGAGCCAGCAATGCACAGAGATAGCTATCGTTGTCCTGGAGATGGCACTGATACTGATAGGTAAGCAACTAAATTTCTTATCTGAATCTCTAAATACAAAGTCCTTAGCCCTGAGCATCCATATAGTTTCATTTATGATTTTTTTCCCTTTAAAAATCAGTTGTGTGTATAGCTTTATTTTCTCAATTTTTTCCCCAAGCCTGTAAATTTAAATAGTTAGACTTAGTACTTGTTTTGAAGCTTTTATGTCTTTGCTTAGATTTCTCAACTAAACAGTGAGTAGATTGACTTATGTAGCCTATTTCCCCCATTTAGACAGATATTGAAGCAAAAATCTCTTTGAAATTAATTTCTTATGGTAAAGGCTTTGATATAATCTTACCCAGTTGACAGAGTCCCATTAGTAAATTATCCCCGTTCTAATTAGATTAAAGCAAGCTATTACAAGGATACGAATGCATGGATATGGTTTGTGCTAGATAGGAAACCGGACAAAATATAAGAATCTGGTCTTGGATATCAACTTGCAATTTGTTAAGTGACCATTCAATTACAACAGCACTGAAAAGTGACTTAGGGCTAGTTTTCACACTTCTGACCACTGTAGCATCCTCATGGTCATCTGATCAAAATTCAGACCCTTGCCAATTGGCAATGCATCTATGACAGTTGCAGTGTCCCAGTGGCTTTGTGATCACAATTTGTAACCTTCCCAGCCAGAGTCCAAGAAAGTCAGTGGGAGAAGCTAGATTCACTTAATAGTCGCAAGACTCATTAAACAACTGCAGTGATTCGCTTAACAACTATGGCAAAAATGTTCATAACTCACTTAACAAAACTCATTTAACTGCCTTCATTAGCAATAAATATTTTGGGCTCGGTTATGGTCATAAATTGAGAACTTCCTGTATACGTGAGATTTACATTGTAATTTTTAAACAAAAGTATAGAAAATAATGGCTGTGCTTCTCTTTTCATGAAAATCTAAGAATGGTGTTCCATCAAATTACAATTGGAAATGACCTATTTTCCATAGCTTGGCTACATAGAGAACTTAGGCTTTGCAGCTTCCAGTATCTCAGTCTTTAATTATTTTCTTGGCCTTACTGTTCTATCACTTCATTTTACTTTTATCTTCATAATTGTATTAAGACAATTTAGTAGCCATATTTTAATTACCATGGGACACCTTAGCTCATACAAAATAGTTTGGTATGAATTCCAGGTGAATTGTTTCTGTATTTTCAGAAAACAATGCAGTTCTTCTGCAAATTCAGGAAGTACTCTGGTTCAGTAAAACCATAGAACTGTCAGCCTTCCCAGGTAGATTAGACAAAAAATATAACCACTTCATTCTACTTTATTGTAAGACTACATTAATAGAATCTTGCAAGTCTGAAAGTACAAATCACCAGTTTGTCTGTTTTTACAGCCTGATAATTTAAGAGAGGATCCTTTCTGGATTTCTTTTTTTCACCTTTCTCTTATGGCAGCTATGGGCTTCTTCTCCACTCTTACCTCTTCATTCTTTAGGCAGCATCTTTCCACCCATCTCCCAAGGTCGTTCCCACATACCATCACAAATATAGTTAGATTAAATGTATCCATTAGAAGAGTTCTGCTAATATTGAAATGGGCAGGGGGACCATTTGTCCTTCCACCTGCGTTTCTTGAAAAGCTGGAAAACTGGAAGACCATTCAGAGAAGTATGAGAAATATCAGTAATTGCTGTGAATAATTGCTGCCATTCCCTTGCCTTTTGAAGTAAGTCATCAGAACCATTTCAAAATGACATATAAGTGTACTATGATTCTCTTTCCAAGCCCATCTGTTAGATACTAGAATCCTGAGAGAAGGAATCTTTATGTTCAAGTCACTGTTTGCATCCCATTGTATTTGTTACATGTTTGCAACTCTTTCAGTCAAGAAAATGCTATTTGCTCTTATGTGGATAGTGAAAATTATTGCAGTGTTTTTGTAACTATGTTATTTATGAGAATATTCAAATAGGGAAGTCATTATTTATACCATTCCTCACCTTAATAGTATATCAACATTCCATGAAGGAATATCTATCTATACCATTAAGACAATATATTTCCATTCCATTTTAGGAATGCAATTCTCCACTGGCAAGCAGTTGGAAATCCATCCTGCTATGGAACTTGGAAGAAAATTCAGCAAGTGAAAGAATGTTCTTGCCCTCTTGTACATAGTTTTATTTTTACATAGCAGAGTGAATATATACTTTAATATATTTACCTGAAACATGAAATCTAGCACTGAACCTACGTAAAGATTTTAGGCATTAAATAAATGAGAAATCAATTTTTGACATTACACTGTCTTTTGTATGAGTGAATAAAGTTAAATGAACTATATAGTGTTATATTGGTCTTCCCTGAATTCAGTATAATTATTGTGCAATGCCTTTAAAACAGTTAAGCCGCATAATCATTTATATAAATCAACTGTAATGTGGCATTTGTTCTTTTGAAAAGTATGTGCTTTATTTATAATTGAAAATAAATATTTGAAGTGGAAGTTATTGAGATTAAATCAGATGTATGTTTAGTAACATAACAGTTCCTTTTGGGGGGGTGCGGGGGAGGAGGGAGAGTCCCTTTAAATCAGTTTTTGATTCTTGACAACTACGGTATCCTGACTACTCCTGTAGTTGCCTTGGGAGGGTTTTTTGAGTAAGTGATTTGCCATTGCCTCCTTCATAGAGCTGAGAGTAAGTGATCTAGCTGGCTTTGTGCCTAAGGCAGGACTAGAACTCCTAGTCTCCTGGTTTTGGGATTAGTGTCTTAATCATTGCATCAAACTGGATTCCTCAGCTCCTTAGAAAGCAAATCTAGGACTAAGCCATTGGCAGCCTGTCTGCTCCATGTGAATTAAAAGGATAGCAAGACTCCATTGCATGATAGGAAAAAAATCAGAAGCAGATTGTAGGATAGGATAGTGTAACTGGTATTCAGTGTTGATACTCAGCATTATCATCTAAAAGTCATCAGCTAACAAATTAAAAATGCAGCACTCTGAATTGAACTTAAAAACACAATATATTTGTTAGAATGACCAGAAGCACAATCTCTACATTTCACTTTAGTGTTGCTCACAAGTTGAACATAATGCTTTCATATTTGAATAGTTAACTCAATAAAGCATTGCAGGAGCCAAATTATCAGTCCCCGAACCCTAAAAAAGATTATGGAAGGAGTTGCAGAAATACTCCTATACCCTAAAGCATGATTTCTTTGGTAAAGTATTTCTTGCACTGAAAAATTTAATCTCCCTGTCCCCTTTGCATAGAACAATGAGGATGTCCTTAGTTAAACAGATCCAACATCAATTTTAAACTTGTCTGCTTAAGACTCTACTTATGTCTTAACTTTGCAGTAGTTTTGATCCTGCAAGGTATTAGCCTGAATTTCTTACAAGCTCTCCAGAATGAAAGGTTAAATCAATTTGAAGTTGCTTGTCTTAAGCAACTTTATTCAGATGATAACTAGGTAATAGACTTTCAACTTAACATCTTATCACCTCTAAATTTTCAAAAATCAACTGAAGACATCAAAAACTATTTTTAGGAACTATAACTGCATAAAATAGTTTGTTTTATATTTATTTAAGACACAACCTGGTAAGTTCATCACATCATCATCAAAATATAAAGAGGTAAGTAATAGGTGGAGTATTAGAGGAAAAAACAACTTAGGCCAAGTCTAACTTAACTAAAGTTCTCCATCTGTCTTTTAACATAACATTGGTTCTATTATTAAAGTCATAATTCTGAAGAATTGTCATCCAGTTTCCAACTCCAAACTTCTGTACACCATTTTTTAATTTCTGGTCTTCTTCCCACTTCCATGGCTATAGAAAATTAAAATAAAATATTATAACATGTTTCTTTTCAAGCACTTTAATTATTAGCCTAATTAGCAATTGCTGAAAGGACATTCTATTTCTATTAACTTTCATTTTTGAAAGCACAATTAAAACCTATAGCATTTGCATTTTACAAGAAATCAGCATTTTAAGAACTATTCTATTTCCATTATAAAGAATGAAAAGCTTTCTGACAAGCAAATGATTATTTCAGATGTGAGAATTACAGTGGAATAATAGAAATTAGGTACTTTTGTTACTTCTAAACACAAACACAGACATCTGTTCATATTAATAAAACAGCCACTTGCATATTATAGCAATATTGTTTACTTTAGATATAGCAATTTCTTGATTTCTGTATTTATCATAAATCTTATCTCCAATATCAATTTAGTGATTGTCATGATTTTTTAAAATTACAATCTGAATATGAGTTGCAAATCTGTTATACTGTATCAAAATACAAACTCCAATATAATTATTTGAAAGGAGCAGGACAATAAGAAGTCTACAAAGATCACTGCTTATATGCATTGTATTATAAAATGAAAACATTAACACTTTTCTGAACAGAGTTCTCTTGAATGTGTATATATACCTTTTACTTAGCAAGTTCAATTTCCTTGTAATATCATATCATTAATACCAAAGAACTTGGGATAGTTGAAATAGAAAGCTGATAAAAGAAGCCAGAGACAACCAGTTTCCAAAATTGGAGGGGCCAACATTACTAACAAATGTTTGCATTTTGTGGGTCTGAATATACGAGAACTAAAAATTATTTGCTTTTCTTTTTGCTACCCAGCTGTAATAGAAGTACTGAATGAGACAAGGCACCTTGGCTTCTTCACTGATAATTGGCTAGATATACACTATTATTATATAGTATATATCCGTGATGGATATATCACGGATATGTATTGAGGCATGTGAGCTTCAGCCAAACTTATCTCACTGGGCATTCCTGAAATATCGGAAATGATGAAACAGGCCCATTTTTGGGCCTCCAAAGGCTGCAGAGGCTTCCCTCTAGCCTCTGGGAGGCCGAAAAAGGCCTCAAACAGGCTGAAAATCAGCTGGGAGGAGTGCACATGCCCAATGCAGGTAAGGGGGCATGGGGGGTGCACTACCTTCTGGTGCAATTTTCGGCACAGGACCCCAAAAAGGTTAGCCACCACTGGTATATATCACACTAGCTTGGCTTGTGTGATAGTTAAGACACAACCTTTTAGGCAACATGAAAAGATCACAGTTTCAATAGCATGTTGTAGATCATTTCTAGGGTGACTTTAGATACGTTGGATTTTAATTCCAATAAGCCAAGCCAACAATATTCAGACATATTAGCTGTGTATTATACAAATGGAATTTCCAGACATTTGGAACAATTCCTTCCACTATATTCTCTGTCCTTTATTAAATTTAACAGTTTTAGGTTTTCTTTTTATGTCCTACTTTTATATTAGCCTCATTTTTTTAACTGTAAACCATCCCAAAAATTTGTATTATTAAGAAATACTTGCATGTAAAGAAGTAAATAAATATGTAAATATGAACACTATTGCACTTCTTCCTATTACATAAGGTTTGACCATTCTGCATGGCCATGCTGGATTGGAAATAACAAGGAACTTTTATTTTCTTGGATCTTGTATATATCAGACCATACTTACAGACAGGCAGTCTTCTTGGACAAGCAAGAAAATATTTTGGAAAAATGTTGTTCTTTGGTTAATCTCACCAATATTATTTTATACTAATACATTATTTTGAACTTTTATACCTGTTTTTTCTGACAAGCTGGCAGAGACTCATCTTGTAGAGCATCTATAGTATTTTGCAGATTTTGTTTACCTGGTTCAGAAAAATAATACAAACATCTCTTTTGAACCCTGAAGTACTGTGCATTTTTAATGGCTAAATACTAATTAAACTTAATTAGGGGATAAGCAGCAGGACTGCAACATATACAACAAATAGAATAAAGTGAATCAATAAAAAATAAAACAAAGGGATATCATTTTTAAGAGGGAAAAAGAAAGCCTGTTAAAGAACGTTCTGAATAAAGATATGTCTTGTATAAGATTTAAGATTTGAAGATGTATGAAGATTAGCTCAAGTAAAGCTGAACTTAGTCAAAATAAATGGAAATACATCAAGCACAAAGCATGCTAGGCTACAGAATGATCACTGATACCTTGAGCTGTATTTTGCTTTCAATGAGAGACTATTTTTTTAAGTGAAAGGCAGGACTTAGAAGCATGGATTATGGGAAGGAAATCTGATTCCCCTCATATTTTCAATATATCCGTCCTGTTCAGATATACCAAAATCATGTAGTACTTACATTGAAGAGTTTTTCGTTTTATACTTTGAGGCATGGGGGAAATCCGTATCTGCTTTGGTTTCCAAAATGACTGATCAGGTAAGAAACAGGAACGTTTATGTAATCTATGAGAGGATGAAAGAAAGGAGATATGATAGAGAACACCTATATGGTTGCTGAAACTTTTCTCCCCTTGAATTATACCATTCTTTGTTAAGTTCCACTATCAGCCTATTTTTCTAACATTTAAAAAAAAATAACCAGGAAAAGAGCCATTTATTTACCAGAATTTGTTAAAGATAAAAACTCTGACACATCCAAGATAACTATTCATTGTGATATAAAACTAGAGAATTGCAGGAAAAGTCATACTTTAGCAGGGTGTTTGGTGTGTTTCCCAAATGATTTTCTTTCTCTTTTTCAACTGTACTGTTGCATTGTACAGGTAGCATTATATTTTCCAAACTTTTTGTTTTCACCTCTTTTGTAGCTTCCTGTAAAACAGCAACGTTTACTTAAGAAATACTTTTCATATCTTTCCCAGTCTACCTAAAACACTTATTATCATATACCATTAGGGAGGATTTAAAACAAAAGATTAATAAAAATGTAAAATAAAGAGCAATATAAAGCAACATAATTAACAGTGTAATGCTTCAGTTCAGAAGAAGTATTCTCACCCCAGGATAATATAATGAATCAGAGACAAGTCCTGTGTTCCTGCTACTACCTCAATAAGCTCTTGTAAATCATATCCAAAGCAAGGCAAAGCCTATTAACTGTAGATTCAGACCAATAGTCAAGATGAATCAGCCATCAGCAACATGGTATTTATTAAGTAGGAAATAATTAGATTTTCTCATTCCACTATTCCCCTTCCAAAAATAATAATCACTTTAGTGAGTTGTTTTTATGTAGAGAGGAATTTATAACTTCCTGGATTTAGCTACAACTGCTTACCAATTATGAGGAGCAAGGAGCAAGCAAAAATGGTTGGCTATATTTAGTCAACACATCAGGTGGGAACTGAACATAATGCAAAGAAAGCCTCAAAAGATAAGGATCTGGTTGCATCTACTGATTGAATCACTAGAATTGGTAGCAAACTACCCAAAATTTGGTAGTTTGTATAGTATTATAGTTTTCATAATTAGAATGTTTCCAATACTTTACACTATTTTAATGAGTAAGACATTGGTCACTTTTACAGTATACAATGTTAATTGTATAATTAACATTTTTCTAATTGAAATAGAATATACTACTTTTATTCTATTTTACTATGGTTTTCAACATACCTTCATTAAAAAATTGTTGGTTTCTTTTTTCAAGAAAATATTGATATAAGTTTTAATTCTCTCAGTCAAAAGATTAAAACTGAAAAATCGAAGAAATGGATGATATGGATCTTTTTGTTTTAATATTGCAGAAAGCTTCATTCTTAAAGGCTACAGGGAAAAAAAGTCAGAATATAATAAATACTACATATTGTGCTTGTAATCCTGCCAATTATATTTTAAAAGAAGCAGAACATTCGTTTTGCTCCCTGAAACCAAAATGTAGGAAATTAAATCTATATTATTCCATTATAAATAATATAATATAACATAAATGATAAATACGTGCAAATTATCTTTCCTAATAATGTGAGGCTCGACAAATTCACTTTTGTTAGATTTTGTAAACGTTTTCAGTATTTCCTTATGATTTTCACACAACTGTGCATAGATAAGATGGTACAACAATGGTAACAGTTTCTTTAGCTCAGGGTTCTCAATTCTCTTTAATCAAACTCCTGGGCAACCAAAGCAATGCAAACACTTTCCTCTAATCTTCCTTTACATTCATCCATTCCATATTATTTCTTTTTTAAATACCCACATCTCAGTTCAACATCCCATCCTTCATATATCATATGTATTAGTTTTTGTTTTTCTTTCTGCCTCTAAGTTTAATTATTTTCTTCAACTGGTTTTCCAACATAGCAATAAATATATGGTGTCCAATTTCCAAGATTTTATAGCAGTGAAGGAATCTTAATCACAGTAAATTATACAACTTACTGTAGCTAAATATAATGATCTATAATGAAAAAAATCTTATGCCAAATGTCACCAGTATAAATTTTCCTATTTTTATTTCATTAAACAAATTTATATGGCTACCCAACTTACACATGGTGACTCCAGGTGTTTACAAAATTAAAAACCCACAATCTAACTTTCTTAAACTTTGATAGAATTGGATGAAGTTTAGATGGCAGTAAAATAATATTTGGAATTATTGCAGAAATTGAATAGACAAGGAGGCATGAAATTGGATCAGAAACCTTAATTTGGGTATGACTACTGAAAATTCTTGGAGGTTTTATTGTCTGTTTTAACCTTAATAGAATAGAGGACAACTTTATTTTTGACCAAGGCCATACTTTTCATTGTTGGATTTCAAAAGGCTGCTTGGTGTACTATAACTACAATCAGTCAAGCCAACATTTTAGTCTTTTTACTATTAGACATTTGGACAAATTTATTGCAAGTAGCTGTATTCAGTGTCCCAGAAATGTAATGCACCTATTTTACTGCCCAAAATCTAAAAGGTAAAACAGTGAAAATATTGCAGAATTAAAATACTTTTAATCAGATTTCAGCAATGCATCCTGAAGGTAACAAAAACCAGGTTAGGGGCAGAGGTTGCTTGCACAAAGTTTAATGCCTTCATAGATTGTAAATTAGTAATGAATAGAAGAGACTAAATCCTGAAAGATGTTTTATCAGCTTAGTAAATCTGCATATGGATCATTTAAGAATATCACTTAAATTTTATTTCATAAGGCTTCAGAACAATTGTCTAATTTAATTCAATATTGAACATACTACCTCCTTGGAGGAAGATTCTGGAAAAAGTCTTTCTATCACTTCTGCAGCCTCCTGAAAATATCCTTTTTCCATATATATAGCGACTGCCTACAAAGAGACAACTTTTAAGTAATGACTTCCATGCTTTGTAACAAATCTGGGAACAAGACAACTTATGCAATTTAATGTTATGATCAACTCTACTTTTCGTTCTAGCAACTCATCTTGATGTATGAAAGAGTATTTACTCTGTTCTTCCCCTTCAGCACAATGAAGGCATCCATCATCCAAATAAATCAGGGGTACTTCAATCTGGCCCATTGGATCGGCTTGGAAAGAGTGAAAGATCAACCTGTGGTGCCTCTGGCAGCCAAAATGGGGCATGGGGGGCACACATGCCACCCCACACCCTGTTTAGCAGGCAGGGTACTGCAGGAGGCATCCGTCCATCCTGTCTCCCCCATCCCTGCCAGCCCACAAAGAACTATAATGCTGATCTGGTCCTCTAAGAAACCCAGTTTCACACTCCTGAAATAAATATTTCACTAATTCCATTAACTGGTACGGAGGACAGGAAAATCCTCCTCCACTGCTACTACTAAGAACACTTACAGATAGGATTGTTTGTTGGGGACAGCTTCATCCTTTCCTCTCCTGATTTTCAGTGTGGATACACGAGTTTCCACATGTAAGTGAATCAAGCAATATTGACAATGAATGGGAAAAAAGAAGCATGTTTGGCCTATGGAATGGAGCAGACAATGACGGCTGCTACTCCTGCATGTCCAGCTGCCTTAGTGTAATAACTGGAACTGATTCTGTGAGTATCTTATTCAACCCTTTCATTTCCCATATTTCCCTTGTGCTATTCTCTCCTATGCTTTTTGGCCATCCAATATCCAAGTAATCCAAGTAAGCAACTCTTCTTTTACACAACTGGCTAGAGTTTCTGTGGTAATCTTTTTATTGCCACAGGCTATAAATGGTCATGAGATTTCATGCTTCTGCCAATTAACTGTAAACTCATGTAAATTTTTAAATTCCTAACTGAATGTTGAAGACACAAAAATGGATTTGATGAAAATGAAGAATTATTTTTTGTATTTTGTGAATGGTACAGTTTCCATGGAAATTATTGTGGAGATAACCTACCCATAGTGATTGTTTTGAAGTAGTTTCTAACATAGGGGAAAAAAACACCTTAAAATATTAAACATTGCCTGTCCTATCTCAATTTATGGCATGCACATTTTGATCTGACCCATGAGAAACCATAAACAAAGGTCTAATTTTCTTGCATGGCATTCTGAATCAAGATGAATATATTGATCTACAAACAAACCTGAATCTGAATTAAGCACTTGATATCTTTATGCAATTTATCTTGTTTGCTTTGTGTTTTTAGAAATGAAATCCAAACTGACAAAGCATTTTCCAGTGGTGAAAGTCTTTGGTCATCTCCAAAATCTGAACCTTAAGAGAAATGAGAAGAAGTAAAAATAGCAGCGTAGTATTTTAAAGATCAAAAAATTAAACTTCCATACTGAAAAGATATCAGTCATTATACTAGAAGTCAATTTCTCCCTTTGATTTTTGGTTCACAGAAGAAAGCTTGTTAAATAGAGATCATCAATGATTCAGCTGAGATGGTTAGGAAGATGACTGAACAATCTTGGGAAATCTCTGGTTTGAAAGGTTATCCTCAGGTCCTTTTGAATATCATGTTATGCAGAGCCTGGTCAAACACCAAGCCAAACTGTGGATATAATTTAGAGGAGCAAATAAAATAGCAGAGAAAAAGATCCTTTAAATTTTATTTTGCTACTCATTGTTAACAGTATTTCAAAAACTACAATAAACTATCTAGGGTCCTCAGCTCAGAACAATAGTTCTAAACAAGACATAGGCTTATACTTGATTAAATACAACATGAACTTATATTAAATATATTATTTTACAAGAATAGCCCTACAACTCTGTTTCTTTGAGCTAGAAATTCAAGAGCCACAGCAGTCTATTCAAGCAATCAGGATAAAATAATTTTTGTAATTTTTATTGAAAATGGAGCAACTTAGCAACAGCAATCACTGTATCAAAATCATGCCATATCGTGCTCACAGACTGTAATTCCTTAAGACACAAAGAACTATAATATACAATCAAGCTCATCAAGAACTAATGCCTAGTCTCTAGCCAAAAACTTATGTAGCCTGGCTTTTTCATCTTTTGCCTCTATATGTTCCATGCACACTTCTTGGACTAGGTTTATGAGTGCACAGTATTTGTGGAGTATATATATAAAGTTACTGGTTCAGTAGCAAGTTGGCAAGATATCCTCAATATCAAGGTTGAGAATTTGTTTACAAATACTAAAATATGCTGTTGACTTGAAGCTGCCACTAATGCAGAGCCAGATAATTGTCATTGCTGAGCATAAGAACACAAGGCCATATTTCAGAAAACATGTGGTTTGTTGCTACCAATTTTTTGGATCTTTTTTGCTTTTATTAACAGTGGTTATTTGTAATAATTTTAGTTTACATTTTAACAATTAAAGATAAATGACAAATACAAATGTGTAGATTATGTATATATAATTTTGCAAGTTTATTTTTGGTTAAAAGAATCTATTTTTTCTATAAATATAGTTAGTATGTGTTTTTCATCAACTAGCTAAGAATTCAGATTAAAATGTTTTACCAAATATTTTTCCTTCTGCAATATATGTCAACAGCTGACAGAGGCACACTGTTTCCCTTTGATGAGTTTCTATTTTGTGCAATCCTTTAATAACAGCTGAAAAAAGAAAGTAGGCAATATCAGTTATGATTTTGTTCCTACAGTGCCACTCTGTGGTAATCAGCAACCTTGTCTAGAATGCTAAATATAATAGAATTTACTCCCCAATAATTGTATTTAGGATTGGAGCATTTTAGACCAGTTTACACTGATTATTTATATTTATGCTAGTTAGTAAACCCATCTGTCTCCCAATGTGACAATCTGAAAATTATTTTGGTGTCTTAGATACTACTGTTTTGAACTATAAATAACTAATGAACATCAATGGAGAAAGAACATAGAACTCTTCAAATATTTGTCATTCTGTAATGCTCTGTAACATATATCTAAAAAATTACAAATATTCAACAGAAATTACTGAAGTTGTGACCCAAAAAATGGATTTCTCGATTGTAATTGAAAAGTGCCTGGGAAAAAAGGGTTTACGATGTTTGAGAGCTGCCTAAAGCCATTGTATGAGATCGGCCACCATATAAACAAACCTGCTCCGAAAAACAGTTCTTTTAAAAGCAGCACATATGCAGCACTAAATAAAGCAAAGAAGTGTAAAAAGCATCACTATGATAGAAAAGGAACATCTGGCTGGCAGAACCACTGCCCTAGTTGCAGAGAAAGCCGAGGGGGGAGAAAACGGGCAGCTTCTACAGTCTGCTGAGCCATGCGTTATGGGTTTGGGGCACCGGCACCAGCAAAGGGCGTTTCCAGGGGCCACCACTCCACCCTCCCACATCCCGCCAAACAGCCAATTACCCAGGGCCAGGTCTCTGCTCCTCTCGAAGTCGATCCGGTTGCCCTCGCAAAAATGGCGGCACAGGCAGCGACAGGCAAAATCCAGCATCCACCCAGCGGCTGTCGACTCGATCTCAGCGAAGACGTCCGAAGAACAACCCTCTGAGGGGCCACAATCCACAAAGGCCGCCTTCGCCGTCATCTGTGGCATGGAGGCGGCAGTGAAATCGCTTTCCCGCTCCATTTTTAAACCTCGCACACCGCTTTCCCAACCTCCGCCCATTTATGACAAGGGCCCTGTCACGAAATGCTCCACTCTGGCCACACCCTCTCCCCGAGCGATTGGTCGAGCGGGTCCCATTCTTTCTCGTCACGTGGCTTGTTCGCGCTTTTCGGTCGGTGGAGAAGGAGAACTACGGAGCGCTCTTTGGGTCCGGCTTGCAGATTCTCGTGGTGAGGCGAGTGGAAGCTGCAAGGATCGCTGACCAGCTCAGTTTAAATCTCTCCCTCTTTTCCCGCGTCATTTGCGATTTATCACGTCTGTCGGATCGCAGAATGAAACGCGAACGTTTACATTAGTGTTTTTCAGGTTTGACATTAACTCCCAGAATTCTCCAACAGGTATGCTGATTGAGGAATTATGGGAGGTGAAGTCCCCACAGCTTAGAATTATACGACTGGAAGGGATCTCTACCAAGGCAGGAATCGTTATACCATCCTGGTCAAATGATTGTCTAATCTTTTCTTGATCTAGCAATGAACACCCGCAACTCTGGGAAGCAAACCGTTCCATTGTTGTTTTAACTATCAGGGAATTCTTCCTTAGTTCCAGGTTGAATCTCCCTCTGACCAGCTTCCAGCTTTGCTTCTTGTCCTGCCTGCTACGGAGAATAAATCGACTCCCTCTTCCCTGTTACAGCTCTACAAACCGTCATGTTGAAAACACTGGTTTACACTGTACATGCGTGTTCCCTTCGTTTTTTTTAAATCGGTTTATCGTCGCTTCTAACACAAAAGAGCGTATACCGTGATCTCCACGCGCGCATTTCTAATCCCTACTTTGGGAAGGCTTGAGGGAAGGAACTCGCTTAAAATCACAAAATGAACGATAATCCTGAAAGTTTGGAAAATAAACCCTTTTGTTTGGGGATACAATAAGTTATAAACTAGCCAACTTCAGATAATTTTAGCGGTCTGGGCGAACTTAACCTGTTGTCTAGTAGAAGGTTTGGTGTGTGTGTCATGAGAATCGGTACATGGGGTTGGGTAAACCATGCTAAAATGAACCGAAGATGCACTACAAATGCAGGACGGACGTCGACTTCTGGAAAGAGCAACGTCTTCATCTCAGTTCAAATATTCCTCACGATGCTGTGGGAAGCGTTAATAATTCTGGAAGAAGCGGACATGCGAGGAGCGTAATTGCCCTTCCTGAAGACAGCCTTTTAGGGATGAATGTTTCCCTGCTTTTGCGCCGCGGGATGGGGGCACGAGGGTGATCTCAAGTTACACTTCACTTTTTTGGAGGGAATTGCACAAAGAAATCGCGGTAGAGCGAGTCAACGGACGGAGAAGCTCTTTGAAGGTCTGATCTGATCCTGGGCGAAGCTAAATCAAGATTACACAAAGGGTTGAAATGCGTGGAAAATGTGAGTGCACCTAGAGATGTCGGGAAGGTGTATCCTATTCGATCCCACGATTTTACACACTGGAGATGCTGAGTGTGCAATCGCTCTAAGAGCTGTAAATAATCATTAAGTACAACGGATAAATGGCCTATCAATGTACTGATCCAGTAGAAATTCTGCTATGTCCAATGACTGTCATTCTAATAATATTCTATAAATTATTTTGAATTTTTGCTCAGTCAAGATTAGCAACCTCTTTCAGTTGTTTCCAGAATGTTCACCATTAACATATGATGATGATGATTGTATGAAGAATGATACCATTTATATATAGAGAAGCTTTAATAGTTTGAAAAAACAGTATTCTCTCTTAAGGTTCATTACAAAGTGATCCCTTAGGAATCCTACAATTTAATAAAATCTTTCCTTCCTAAGGCTTCCCAAGGGTCTGTGTTCTCTATGCCTTTGTCTTTTTTCTTTTCTTATTATTGGAAAAACCCTATTCTTTATAATATGATTTTGCTGTAAGGAGGTTCATAATATTTTCAAGAGATGAAAATTGGCAAGGACACCAATTCTCTGCTTGCCTGCCTGCCTTTTTCTGGCAACCACATATCTATTCCTAAACTTGGAAATAGCTGAATAAATGAAATCTATTTTGTGTAGGAAATATTTAAAAAAACAATGGTTAATATATTTAAATTTAACATTTAAATATTAGGCTGCCTAAGAGCTAATGCACCTGGGTTGTATGGAAAATAAGAGGCTGGCATATTAGTTATACAATAGTTGCTTATTGTTGGCAATTGAAATCAGGAACTCTATCAATAAACAATGCAGTTGTAATGCATGATGTCACATGACTGCCAGTTTATATCAGCTTTTCTGGCAGTCCCAGTTGCTGTTGTTTGATAGATCCTGCATGGTCATAGCTTCCCATAGTCATGTGATCACCATTTGCAACCCTCGTGCTAGCTTCCTTGTTGGCTTGTCTTGACCTAAGTCTACAGTGAAGGATGCAAATGCTCATTACTTGATTACGGCATACCACATCATAACTGTGAGCCAGTTGCCAAGTACAAATTGTGATCATGTGACCACAGGAGCGCCACAACAACTGCAAGTACGAAAACCCACATAAGTTCAGTGCCATTGTAACTTTGAACAGTCACTGAATAAGTGGACATTAAATGAAGACTCTCTGTATATTAAAAAGGCAGGATAACAATATAATAGTAATATTTTATTTTAGTAAAAATGTTCAACATCTTAATTTTTCAATATTAAAAAGCCTGTTTTGTAATCTACATTGTACCCCTTCCTCAAGTAAAATAAAATAAAAATATGAAAACATTGTCATTTTACAATTGCTATGTGACTTCCACCATTTCTTCTTTGTTGTCTCTAATACAGATTAGTTTAGCTTCATAATCTGTCATTTTTAAAAATTCTTCAATTAGTATTTATTTATTGAATTATTCCATAAATATAATAGTATTTGCTTTTCATTATGAGCCATTTACTTGCCACAAACATGTTGATATATATTCTGCTTCATACCCATGTTTTTCCCTATGTACTGATCTAATAAAATGTTTAGAGTCAGGTATACTTAAACCTGAGAAACTAATAAACAGCCATGGGACTGAAAATTATTGAATGCTTGCTTTTTATATAAAAAGTGACTACTGAGCATTCCTATTGGATAGACAAAAGCAGTAAATCTTGAAAACATAAAAAACAGACCCAGATGAACAGAACAATCTTGTACGTTACTCAGAAGAAACCTCAGCTGGCTTAAATTTCCATCAAGGTTTCCTATCGTGGACAAAAGTGTTAGGTATTTGTTTATTTAATAGTTTTATATGGCTGCCCATTTCCTATGCATGATTCTGGTAGTAAAAGTTAAACAGAATAAAAGCATAATAAAACAACAGAAATAACATAAAATAACATAGCAGCTGTGAATGTAACTACGACAGAAGAAAACACTACCTAAATTATACATGAAGGGTAACCTCTCTGATCCATTGAAGATGAAAATAGGTGTCTTGGCAACTGAACAGTTTAGCAATTCCCATTAAAATATCACCACAATTTTAATAGAGGAAATAATAGGACAAGAATATTGCATACTAGAAAATTTTATTACTTTGTAACCATTATAAGTACAAACATAAAGAAAATTTAGCACCAAAGTGTATAGTTTAATATATTTTCAGGCCCTACCGTGATGTTATTTGTTTTCACTCCACATATTCGACATATTCTTCTGTAAAAATCCAACTGTAACACTACCTAAGTGATTCATTGTCACATAAAGATGATACAAATAAGTGAGTATAGGTTGATATGTGAAAACAAAAAAAAAAGATCATTTTATGTTCAATTATAGTTAATTGAATATTATATATTGGTTGAAATGACCTGGTTAAAATGATTTGTGGTTGCAACTTCAAGTAACACATAAGGTCCTTCCCTCCAAAATGAAGGATAATATTTGCACCCCATACTTGGATGCACAGGAATTATGCCTGAAGCAGCCATTCTGCAAAATTCATAGGGGGAACATGCACCTCTTGTTTGAGGAATTGCTGAAGCAATTGCTGATCAAAACATTTCTTTTACTCCATTTACAGATAGTCCTTGAGTTACAACCATTCATTTAATGATGGTTCAAAGTTACAGCAGCCTTGGAAAAAGAGACTTATGACCTGTAGTCAAATTTACAACCATTGCAACATTCCTATGGTCACATAATTGCAATTCAGGCACTTGGCAACTGGCTCGCATTTATGACTAGTTTCAATATCCTATAGTCAGATGATCATGGCTTGCAACCTTTTTTGGGCAATTTCTAGCAAAAAATATACCCATTAGGGAAACTGGATTTGTTTTATGACCACTATAAAAACTGTTATAACATCAAGTCTGATTTGACTTATGGCTGCATTGATGGAATTTCTGATTCCAATTGTGGTTGTAAGTCAATGACTATCTGTAGCTACTTGCTGCAAAGAGAGAAAATTACTTTCCCAGGATATTTAACCTCTTGCAATGCCTCTTCCTCAGCTGCCATAAACTTTTGCTAAGCAAATAAAAATGAAATTAGATGAGGTAGAGACAGTGAATTGGTTAGATAGAGAGTGGGAATCAAATTAGAAAAAAGAAATGGATGGGTTTTATAAAAATGATTCTTAATATGGACATTCACACATATAATATGATGTCCAAAAATTAATATCTATGATCCCTGGGTATGAGTAAGAATATATGTTAAACTCTTTAAGAATGCCAGGCATTTATTTTGATCACATATGTCTAACCAGAGATACTTAATTAATAGAGAAATGGTTGAATTAGTTTTTGAACAAGTGAAAATATTAAGTTAGCTGCCACCTGGAAATTTTTGAAGGACCTTGTATAGTCCGATATTTCAAGAGGACATTGACTCCTATGTATCTGAAAGCAGATTTTTTTTTTAAAAAAAATAGCAAATAGGTTTTTCATAATTCAACATGACACCTATGTTGGATGTGATCTATGTGTCTATAGAGATCCAGGTCATGGTTGTCCCGAAGATGCTTTTTCATAAGGCAATTGGACTTCATTTTGGTTTTTTTGAAGACATTC